AACCGAAACTAAATATGTCGGTTTATACGATCATGTCTTTTATCTTTTAAACGGCCCAGATTGATAAATACTTGAAAACTGCTAGACTTGATTAGTTGTGACTGTGCAAAGTTCTGTATGATGTTCCACAATATGAACTTAACAAGAGGCTTCCTCTAGTTCTGTGTAAAATTATAGAGCGACACGAAGGTAAGCGCATTATTGTTGTTGTTATATTTTTAATTGTCGGATTATAATTAAGTATAGATGAATGACACAGTTTTGAGTTGACTGTCATGGTGTGCGCATGAACGAGTGTGAAATACCTGCTAATTGCTTTTTCCTATCACTTATGTTGGGCACTTTTTGCATTTAAACTGGATTATTCTGACTGCTGACATTGAAAATCATGCATGTGTTGTTTCGAGGGTATCGGTTAATTTCATGATTGCCGTTTTGACAGTGTCTGCTTGCATATTTTATTCATGTTCGGTAGCCTAATTCTCTTTAATGTAGGCTATTGACCCCGATTTGATCCGTTTACCTGCGAAATTTATCTTATTTATAATTTATCTTATTTTGTTTTAAGGAGTTAAAATGGCCCTTATCAACCTTGATTTACATATTCTATAACATTATTTTGACAGTTAAAGTTTTGGGCGGTTTTTGTGAGCTTTTGGGCTGGAAATGGTCCATCCAATCTGGCAACACTGCTTGAGTCTTATTTTTGGTTTTCAACAAAAGCATAAAACAGCAATATCACTTCAACATTGACTCTTTATGTGACTGCGTGGGGGCTCTTAAAAGAGCCTGTGTGTGTCACGGCGTCGCGGATCACGTTTTCCAGGAACACCTTCAGCACACCGCGGGTCTCCTCGTAGATCAGACCGGAGATGCGCGAGGCGACGGATGGCGGGTTTGGTGATGCCCTGGATGTTATCCCGCAGCACTTTACGGTGCCGCTTAGCGCCTCCTTTCCCGAGCCCTCTACCGCCTTTGCCTCTTCCAGACATTGTTACAGTCGATTAAGCTTAGATTTACGAAAGCCAGGCGCTGGAAGACGAGCTTCACAGTTGCTCAGAGGACCGAGTTGAAAAACGTAAAGCCTGGAGCAGAGCCTGCTCTCCGTAGTTCTGCTGAACTTGTGCAAGTTTGTCTTGTTTTTTTTACATGGTCACAATTTGTTTTTTGTCTCTTAGCATCACAGTTCATAACTCTGACCTCAAATCCTACACATTTTTTTCTATACAGATTTATTAATTTACATCTAGAGTATGTGTCAATATCTTTCCAATGAGATCGACCTTTCCCACTCAAAAGCTTTAAAAAGTAGCAGTAACAACATTTTGAGTCAACAAAATATTAATATAATCTCTTAGATTATGATCTGGCAAGTGATTTGATCTACTACAGACTGGTTTGATCTACTATTTTCAAATGAAAAGAAAACGGTACAAATGTATTACTAAATACAATTGAGCACATTCATCTTCATACATATTCAGTTTCTTTTCAGAAGCTAGGTTTAAATTATTATTAAAAAACTAAACATATTACTGCACATGAACAATGCATGACTGCAACAAAGAGAAGCAGAAAGAGGAGGGGTTTGGAGGGACGAGCAGTGATTGGTTTTCAACTGTGATCGACTCTAACCAATAGGAGAGGAGCACGCTCTCTTAAAAGCTGACTGTCATGCTGCAGCGTCATTATTTCTGCATCACAGCGTAGAAACAACTGCTTCATAATCTCCAGCAATGAGTGGACGAGGTAAAACCGGCGGTAAGACCAGAGCGAAGACTAAGACTCGCTCCTCCAGAGCAGGGCTGCAGTTCCCCGTCGGTCGTGTTCACAGGCTTCTCCGCAAAGGTAACTACGGCGAGCGCGTCGGTGCCGGGGCTCCGGTGTATCTGGCCGCTGTGCTCGAGTATCTGACGGCTGAGATCCTGGAGCTGGCTGGAAACGCCGCTCGGGACAACAAGAAGAGCCGTATCATCCCCCGTCACCTGCAGCTGGCGGTGCGCAACGACGAGGAGCTGAACAAACTGCTGGGCGGAGTGACCATCGCTCAGGGCGGCGTGCTGCCCAACATCCAGGCCGTGCTGCTGCCCAAGAAGACCGAGAAACCCGCCAAAACCAAGTAAACACAGGAGAACACAAACTCCCAAAGGCTCTTTTCAGAGCCACCCACTTTCTCTTTAAAGAGCGATTTTAATTAATTCAAAGCGAACATCGTTTATTTTAAAGCAGTTGGTTTCTAATCAGTGGTTGGTGACCTTACAAACCTTGTTTATTTTATTAGGTCACATTCGAGCTCTTTTTTATGAATTAAATAGTGAATTAATATTTAGGTTATCTGCCCCGGGTAAATATCAGGAATGCTATATAATGTAAAAAAACTTAGGTGAATCATCAAAGTATTATTTTAGAGTTACATAAGGTGTGGGGGAAAGGGACAACAACTACCTGGTTGCTGGAAAGAAGCTGTAGTTCCAGCATGTAAAGCTGGGAAAGAAGGTAAAAGTCCAAATGATTACAGGCCAAGTTTTTCTCACGTTGCACTTATAAGGTAATGGAAAAAATTATAAATCCGGGATTAACATTTTATGGAAACTGGAGGGAATATTTGTAATTATCAAAGTGGCTTTAGATGTACGGATCCTACAGCATGTTTGGAACATGAAATACGAAGAGCTCAGGCTAATAAAGAAAGTGTAAGAAAGTATAAAGAAAGTGTAGTGGCAGTGTTTTTTGACATCGAGAAAGTTATGATATGATGTGGAAAGAAGAGTTAATAATTAAAGTGAGAAAAGCAGGAGTTAAAGGGAAAATAAAATGGATTGAAGGTTTTCTATTTGAAAGATCTGTTCAAGTAAAGATTGGGCAACATTTTTCAGAGATAATAAATAGAGAATAGTCAAGGACTAATATGCTTCCTTGTGGTGTTCCATTTTCTCTATTATGATAAATGATGTGTTTTTAAATATTGGAATTCCCCTTTATGCAGATGATGGTGCAACGAGGGAGGAATGTAGAATTTATTGTAAGAAAAGTGCAAGAAGCAATCACAGAAGTAGAAAGATGGTCATATAAGTGGGGTTTTAGATTTTCTATTGAAAAGACAAAACCGTTATTCTTTTTAAAATGTAGGATTAACAAAGAGGTAAAATTGAAATTATATGGTCAAGAAATAGAAAGAATATCATGTTTTAAATTTCTGGGTATATGGTTTGATGAAAAACTCTCGTTTAAAATACACATTCAAAAAAACTGTAGATAAATCTAAAAAGGCACTGAATGTAATGAGATGTTTGGGGAAAGAGTGGGGGGCTGAGAGGATGGCTTTGAGAAGTATATATACGGGTTTGGTACGATCTGTATTTGATTATGGGAGTATAGTGTATCAATCTGCTGCTAATAGTGTGTTAAAAGGTTATGTACGGGGCGATGAGATCTACACCAACTGCAGCCTTGCAAATTGAAATGGGAGAAATGCCTTTAGAACTTAGAAGAATTAAACTATCACTAAGATACTGGGTCAGTAAATGAGGACATAATCAAGAACGCCCAGCTAGGATAGATCTAAAACCAGTCTGGGAAAAAGGAAAGAAAGAAATCAAAAGCTTTGGATGGGAGTTTTCAGAATTGTGATTTGCTTTGCACTTCTCGGCCACCGTAGTGAACTGTTAAAATTTGCTTATCAACACATGGTCCGTGCAGTTTGTCCCAAACTTAAAACCACTTACAACTTTGTGTTTATGCTCTGTTACTGGTTTGTCACAGAAATTAATTTTAAAGTTATTTAGAGTTTAATAGTTTGATTTAAATACATTTTAAATAAAAATAGGGGGAGTTGGACTAATGGATAGAGAATGGATAGAGAGTTGGACTTGTAACCCGAAGGTCGTGGGTTCAAGTCTCAGGTCCAGCAGGGATTGTAGGTGAGGGGGGGTGAATATCCAGTGCTCTCTTCCACCTTCAATACCACGACTGAGGTGAGATCCTTGAGCAAGGCACTGAACCCCCAACTGCTCCCCAGGTGTGTGTTCACTACTGTGTGTGTGCACTTGGGTGGGTCAAGTCACCTTTATTTATATAGCGCTTTTAACAATACAGATTGTGTCAAAGCAACTGAACAGCATTAATTAGGAAAATAGTGTGTGTGTAAGTGATTTCTGGTAGCCAATGTTGACATTTGAAATCACCAAAACAAACACGCCTCTCGCCCCTATTTTGATAGCTCCGCCCCACACATACATACGCAACCCAGGCAACGATTAGTTCTGTGAAACAAAGCAAAACCAATGTTACACCGTGTCTACACTCGATGCAAGTGGAGCCGCGCAAC